ACTTAGTTATTACCACTCAAGAAAGAGATATGGCGTCACCGTGGATAGTTTTCTGAAAACCTCTGTTCAATGTGCAGCAGCAGTCAAAAAAGCTAACACTCTTAGGAACCATTAAGAAAGAGATAGATAATGAGACAGAAAATATCCGAATGGCCACTATATAAATCCATCATATGCCCACACTTTGAATACTGCACGCAGTTCTGGTCGCCCCATCCCAAGAAGATATATTAGAATTGGGTTACGATTGAAAAAAGTACAGAAAAGGGCAACAAAAATGATTAGGAATATGGAACAGCTTCCAGAGAAGGGCAGATAAAAAAAACCTGGGGCTGTTCAGTTTAGAAAAGAGATGTCTAAGTAGGGTGACCAGATAGCAAATGTGAAAAATCAGGACAGGGGTGGGGGGCCAAGAGGTGCCTATATAAGAAAAAGTCCCAAATATCAGGACTGTCCCTATAAAATCGGGACATCTGGTCACCCTATGTCTAAGGTGGGATATGATAGAAGCCTATAAAATCATGAATGGTGTGAATAAACTGAATAAGGAAATGTTATTTACTCTCATAGGTGCTGGAACTAGGAGTGTGGGGGATGCTGCAACACCCCGTGGCTTGAAGTGGTCTCCATTATATACAAGGTTTACACTTTGGGTTAATGGCTCTCAACACCCCCACTATACAAATTGTTCCAGAACCCCTGTTTACTCCTGCATATAAACACAAGAACCAGGGGTCATTCAGTGAAATAAACAGACAGCAGATTTAAAACAAACGTAAGAAAGTATTTCAAGCAATGCACAGTCTTCCTTCGGAACTCATTGGCAGGGGATGTTGTGAAGACCAAAAGCATAACTGACTTCAGAGAAGATTTAGATATATTTATAGGGAATAGGTCCATCAATGGCTATTAGCGAAGACAGTCAGGGATGCAACCCTACGCTCTGGGTGTCCCTAAACCTCTGACTGCCAGAAGCTGGGACTGGACATCAGGAGATGGATCACTCATAAATTGCCCTGTTCTGTTCATTCCCTCTGAAGCATCTGGCATCGGCCACTATCAGAAGACAGCACAGATGTATAATTGGTATGAACAACAGTGTTTATGACCAGGCTGTGGGTGGTCAGGCCTGGTGGTAAAAGAGAGTGAGGCCTACTAGTTAGAGCTTGGACTAGGGTGGGCGTAGTGCAGGAAACAAGCCTATGGTCAGTACCAGAGGGACAGAAGCCAAATGTCACAGCTTGGGAGGAGGGTGTAAACCAGAGTCATAAGCCAGAGGCAGAGCCAGGGATCAGTACCAGAGAGACAGAAGCTGTATGTCAGAACCGGAGAGTCAACCAGAGTCGTAAGCCAGAGGCAGAGCTGGGGGTCAAATCTAGAAGTCTGAAGCCAGAGGGGAGCAGGGACTGGAACAAGGGCAAGTACAGCTCTGGGAGTGGTACGTGTTGAAGAGCCACTGACCTGCTGCGGAGGCCAGGCTTATAAACAGGACTGCTAAACCAGCAGCCAGTCAGGGGCTGAGGCCACTGTGACTTCCAAGGCAGAGTATGTGGGCTCCTTGGTTGCCTAGTAATGCACTTAGTTACAGAGCAGGCCAGCAGCTGCTCCTACCTGCTCTGGTCACTGACATATAGCCATTCTTATGTTCTTATTCCATATATGTACTAGCGGGGTGCGGGGGTGGGAAAGGGGGGAAAACTGCAAGCAAGACACCTTTTTTTAAAGCTGGTCCTGCACTTTTTAATAGCAATAACTTTGACAGAACTGACTCAAAGCAGGCTTACTAGCAAAGAAAGGCCCTAAGCTTGTAAACACATATGTGAACTCAATTGTATGAGTGATGCGGTGTGGTCAGACCACTGCAACTCCTTAGGGGCACAAGGATCTGCCAGCCTGAAGTCCGTTGCAAAACTGGGCCCTCCATTAGTACAGTCAAAGATTAAGGCAAGAAGGGACCACTAGATTATCTAGTCTCACCTGTATATCACAGGGCACTGACATCACCCAGCACCAGCACGCTAAACCCTTCAAAGGAATGAGACCTACAGGATAGTAGACTATTACGTGCCACAGGCAAAGAATAGGAACAATGGCAGGGAAAAGGTTAAATGAGATATACTCAGATAATCCTGGGAAATGACCCACATCCATATGCTGCAGAGGAAGGCAACTTCTCCCCCTTTCCCTCTCCCTCCCCCCCGCAAGGTCAGGAAGGAAGGAAGGGATTTTTCCAACCTCACATTTGCTCATCAGTTAGACCCTGAGCATGTGAGCAAGAACCAGCCAGTCAAGCACTTGACGGAGAGGATGCTTGGTGCCATCTCAGAGCCCTGGCCTAACCCACCCAGTGTCCCATCTCCAGAAGTGGCCACCCCTGATGCTTTAGAAGAAAGAAAAAAAATCCCAGAATACATTGTGGGCAGGGTGGGAATAATCCCTTTCTGATCCCTTCTAGTGGCCAGCTGCAACCATGAAGCATGAGCTTTAGGAACATAAGAGAAACCAGAAGCGACCCCCTAGAGCTTGAGCCTTGCCCCCTACCATCACAAGCAACCCTATCATACAAGTGTACTCAAATTTGTCCAGTTCTATTAAAACTAATTAACTTGCTTGCCCCCACAACTCCTATTGGGAAGCTGTTCCAGAACCTCATCCCTTTGGTTAGAAACCTTCTTCTAATTTCCAGCCTGAACTTGTTCATGACCAGCTGATATCCATTAGTTCTCATGCCAACATTGTCCTTCAGCATAAACAGCTCTTCACCCTCCCTGGTATTTATCGCTCCCTGATTTATCAAGATCAATCATATCCCCTCTCAGCCTTCTTTTAGTGAGATTAAACAAGCCAAGTTCTTCCAATCTCCTCTCATAAGATAGGCCCTCCATTGCCAGGATCATCCTCATAGCTCTTCTCTGCACCTGTTCCAGTCTAAAATAGTTTTCCTTGAACATGGTGACCAGAAATGTACACACTATTCCAAATGAGGTCTTACTAATGCCTTGTACGATGGAATTAATACATCTCCATCTCTATTGGAAATGCCTTGTCTGATACATCATAGGATTGTATTTGTTTTTTTCCCCCCTCACAGCCACATCATACTGGTGGCTCATAGACATCCTATGATCAAACCACACACCAAAGTCTCTCTCCTCCTCTGTCACTTCCAACCCTGAGGTGTAGCAGAAATTCTTTTTATTAGACCCTACCTGCACTACCTTGCACTTTGCTATTGAATTTCATCCCATTTCTGTCAGTCCAGTCATCAATGTCATCCAGACCTTCCTGTATAATATTCTAATCCTCCTCTGTATTGACAGTGTCTCCCAACTTCATATCATCAGCAGATTTTATTAGCACAGTCCTCTTTTTGCACCAAGGTTATTAATAAAAAAAATTTGGTAATACTGATCCTAAGGCTGATCCTTAAGAAACACTGCTAGTAACCTCTCCCTAGTCCGGTAATACACCTTTCAGCACAACCTGCTGCCTTCTCTCCTTTAGCTAATTCCTTATCCACCTTACAATGCTTGTACTGGTCCCCATCTTCCCTAATTTAACTAATAATTTCTCATGTTGTACAGTGTCAAGTGCTTTACTAAGTCCAAATGTTTTAGACCTACTATACATCCGTTATCTAAAACATCAGTTAATTTCTCAAAGAAGGAAATCAGGTTGGTCTGGTTTGGTAAACCCATATTAATAATTAATATATGGAAGGTGAGAACTGGAAGGTCATTGAGTCCAGCCCCCTGCCTTCACTAGCAGGACCAAATACTGATTTTTACCCTAATCCTGAAGTGGTCCCCTCAAGGATTGAACTCACAACCCTGGGTTTAGCAGGCCAACATTCAAACCACTGAGCTATCCCTCCCCCCATGTTGCATTACATCCTCTTTACCATTTACCTCTATAAATTTAATCATTCTGATTGGGTTCAATTCCACCAAAATCATAATTAGAACTGGTCAAACACTCAAAAACAATTTTATCCTACATTTTCAGAATAAAAAAGAAATAAATCAAAATCAAGAGAGAAAATAATTTTTCACTGACAAAATATTACTTTAAAAATGAAATACAAAATCTAAATACTTTTTTTATTCCTAAATATTTTATAAGTGATTTTCATTCCTGAAATTTTTACATTTTGAAAAAATCCCACCATTTGTTTATGGGGACCTTTTAAAATCAGAGTTGAGGGAAAACAAACAAAATGTAAGAGCTGCAAATGAAAAAAAACAACCCAAAATAGTAAAGAAAATTTTGGAGAAAATTCAAATGTTTTGTCAAAAAGTCTGTTTACTGAAAAAAGATCAATCTTAATTTAAACATTTTCAACGACAGATCAGGAGCATAGAAGTGGGTTTAAAAATATATGTTGTTATCTTGTTATCCCTTTGCTTTCACAGTCTATATATGGAATATGCTTGCAGTGGGTGGATGGTGGAATGTATTGGCATAAATAGGATATCTCCATGGAGTCAGTAAAATCCATACTCAGAATCTCTGACAATAAGGACACTTAGGTACATAAATACGGATTTAGGTATTTAGCTTGAGACACCGAAGTTTTAAAATGCTTGGTTCTGACTCTTTAGGCAGAAGCTCTCCAGGATGGCTTTACTAGTATTACCAGTTCTGTGGCTTGAGAAATATGGTACGAGATTCTTATTGTGTGGCTCTGCAGAGGCAATTCTTGGTGGAATTAATCTCAGCAATATAAAACTCAGCAATTCAATATCCCTTCTTCTGGATGCTGAGTTGTTTCTTTCTGATTTCCCTGCCTTGCTGTGGCTTAGGCTAGATATGTAGCTCTAGTCACCAAGACGGCACCCAAAGAGCTAAGCCATTTCATTGTTTTATGCATGAACCATTAGGATATGCCACACAGAAGAATATTAAAAATAAGGAGTCAAAAATTACACTAAACTCAAAGTTTTCCCAGCAGCTGTCTATAAAGCTAGCACACAGGCGAGAAAATATTAGTATGAAGATACCTCCATGTTCTGGGAGAAAGGGTCCTTCGGATCACACAGTGATGAAGATATTCTGTGGTTGCCACGGAAACAGCGTTGACTGCTGTTCTGTGGGACTGGAAATGTCTGTCGAATAATTGTTAACCTTCCAATTGACCTTCTCACTAGCTCCTGCACATCCACATCATTTATTTCCTGTAAGATAAGATCAGGCATAGAATATGTATAAAAGTTAAAATATTGAAACGTCACCACCAGATTATAAATGAAAAATAAACTGAAAGTGCTGAGAGACGTGGTATCACTGTACTGCATTTATTCAGTGCTGTCATGTCCTTAAATAAAAACAGATGCATGTTCATTAAAATGACTAGCCTACCATTTCTATAGTCGTATCACATGCTTAGATATGCTACGCTGAAGCCTAGAGAGAGACCTGGAAGGTGTAACTGGGCTCAGATTGGGGTCCCCCCCTTTCCCTTTGATCTTTTACTTTAAAGTGTTTCACAACAGATAATGTTTAAGACCGTAGGACGACATAGTATAAAGTATTGCTAAGTGTGGCATTACATCAGGAGGTACAGACAATTATTTGGGTCTTAAGTGTTCATTTCCTGGAAAAAGAATATCAAGAACCTATACACAATTTAGTAATTAACTAACAATTTATCAAAATGAGCACTAGGGGGAGAGAGAGAAAGGAAAGCATTAGGGCATTCAAGGTTGTGTGAGTGTTCTTGTCTATAGCACGATCTAATTTAAAACATGCCTTTTATTCATAAGGTTTCTATTCTGGTTGAAAGCTGAGCACCCACAGCTAGGGGGACACACTTTAAAGAAATCACTAAGTTAACATTTACTGGATATTTTGCTTTGGAGAGGAATGTGGTGTGAGGGTATGTGTGTGTATGTAAAGAGTTGAGGCTATGCTGTTTTACACTAGCTGTGGATATGACCCTGAATTTGGTATGATTAATTAATTAAACAATAAGAATTGACCCAAACCTTTATTCAAAACTTGAACTTGAATATTTTCTGAGGACTAAAGAGGTTTAGTTAACCCCATTTTGGGGGTTCTCTCATCTCTTTTTGTCTATTTTTTCTGAACAGAAGTAGTTACTGAAATATTGTATGGCACAACACAATTTATCTGCAGCGATCTCGCTCAAACCTAGGGTCTGTCCCTCAGCAGAGTGAATCATTTGCTTATTTCCCCTGATGAGCTGACCCTGTTTATCAGAATGTACTTGATGTCCTAAACATTTTGGAAACATAAGAGTTTAATGTTCCATGCTAAAGTTTGCAAAAATCCTATGAGAAATTTTGTTATACTGAAATTTCCAGCATGACTTTCAGACTGAAGAGGTTTAGGTCATCTTCCACTGAGTAGATAATCTTTTGGATACCATTTTAAAAAAAGAGAGAGAGAGAGAGAGAGAGACTTTTGAGGCTACATCATCACTAGTATGCATCTTAGAGTAGTAATTCTGCATTCCAATAGAAAGCAAAAATTTTGAGGTACATTTCCCCAAGGTCTAAGACCCAGCTCCCCCCCCCTTTTTTTCTTTTTTAAAGAAAACTGCAAATGCATCGTTGTCTGTAAATGAATTACAGGAGCAAATCAGGGCACTTGTGCTTCTAACTTCATGGTCTGTGCCCACAATCACATATTTGGAGGCACAAATATTCAAATTTAAGATCACAATGCAGTTTCCTTTCTGCAAAAAGCAAACCATACTTCTGAAAATGCTGGTTTTTAATTGTAAACAACAAACCTGATGTATTTTTCTGGCTACAATTAACATGCTTAAAGCAAAATCTTCTGCAACAAATGGTTCAGGTATAGCTCCATTTTGTTTATTTTCTTTAAAGCCATGAAGAAGAATATGCTAACAGTTGTGAATTTTAACATCAATTCTCTTGACTACAATAAACCTATTTTATTCTTCTTCATAGCATGTCACAGCTTTTGGCCTCATCTGTTATTTATGTTCTTTATGAAATATAGATTTTTCTGCAAACAAAATAACACCTGGCATCAGCTGTGTCCAGTGTAATATCCTGCATGTCTGGTCGATTAATCCTTAATGTACCATAGATAATGGTTTTTCTCAGCTTAATATGCCGTCTTTTCATTTAGTCTGTATCATTTCACTAGCTACAAGAAAGAAAAAAGTTGTTTCTTTGGCAAAATGCAAGTCATTTTTAATACACCTGCAATATAATCATAGAGGGCAGTTAAAAAGAATATTATCTATATTCTACACCACACCTTTTAATCAATCACTATGCATGATCATTTGGTTTTTGTTCGACATCTTGACTATATTGGAACAGAGAGGCTGTCAATTTTTTTTTTCAATACTGTGAAAAATCATACCCACATGGCATGCTACACCGCCAACTAACATTTTATAAGAGGTTTTGACTTTTAGCTGTGCAAACATTTATCATTTTTTCTCCCAAAAGCACAGCATATTTTTCTCTGTATTCAGCAGTTTTGTGCATTTTAATTAGAATTCTCTGGGTTTTGCCTCTAGGTCATTGTCACACTTCAGACATAGTGTGTATTTTAAAATAATTTTCTGGAGACTAAAAGCAAAGTCCAAACAAACACCAAAGAGACATGAGCAATGTGGGAATTGTCAGTTTGATGAAACAATATAATAAATACACTGAACAGATTCATGACAAATGTACTTTAGATTCCGTGGATTGTACTGGTATTATAAAAGTTTCCTTTTTAGTTTAATGTCGCAATTGCAAAACTGTTACCCACAAACCCAAGTCCAGCTTAAATCAGGACAATTTGATGAAAATAAACTTCTTTGCCTCATTCAATTAATTCTGCCAGTATTTTCTCTTGGGATTGACAGACAGCAAGAACATGTTCTATTGTACAAAATAAGACTATCAGATCATCCTTCACTTGTTCTGATTTTTAGATTTGAGCTGAAGAGATGGTCTATAATGACAAGAAAACTAGATCAAGGGACTAATTCATAGGAGGAAACCATTTGCATTTCAATTTAAATGAAGGATATAAGGGTTGTTTGCAGTGCTGTAGCCTTGTTGGTCCCAGGATATGAGAAAAACAAGGCAAGTGAGATAATACCTTTTGTTGGACCAATTTCTGTTGGGGGAAGGGGCATACTTTCGACCTTCAGAGAGCTCTTTCTCAGGTACAAGTGACATTCTAGTTATCTTCTCCAGACACGAGGAAGAGCTCCATGAAATTCAAAAATCTTGCACCTTCCATCAACAGAAGTTGGTCCAAAGAAAGATATTACCTCACCTACCTTCTCTCTATAGTATAAGAGTGCCAGATGATCTATTTTACAAGTACTGAAAGCCAAGAAGAAAGAAATAAAAAAACAGGACACCAACTGGCCCAGTTTCTGGGCCTAGTATGCATTAAAAAGAGATTCAGATTTTCTAAAGGCAGAGTTTCAGTATAATAGATTTTGATAGCTTGGGCCAAATCTTTTCTTTTTTCCTCTCAGGACCGAGACTAGGGAGAGTGTTGTCATTAGTACAAATGGAGTGATGACAGAACTTGGAGAAGGAACTTAAGAGAAGAAGAAAACCAATTTCAGGCCATGGATCAGGCATCTAGAACTAATGACCACTGCAGGGCTAGCTCATTCTGCCTGCTCTGAAGCAACCTACAGACATATAGGTGGAAAGTGGCAGAGATGCACTGCTATTGGTTTCAGAATACCAGTTTATATTAGTTACCACCTGCCTAACTTGAATGATAGCGAGAGGTAACCCACATTTGACCTGAGCCTCTAGCAAACCCTATTCTATGGACTACAACAAAAATGGCTACCAAATCCCTTTTGGCACCATTTCCCAGCATGGCTGGAATCAGGTATAGGGACAGAATAGACTAGAAACCCCTGCTGAGGCCCATAGGAGACTTCTGAAGAGCACGATTTGACCAAAGATAAGCCAGGTCTGCTCAGCCCCTCCATCATAAAGGGACACCCTGACGCAGATGCAAAGAGATAAGTTTAATTTTTGAGCATTGAGTTTAGGAGTCAAGAGAGAGAAGCAGAACAGCTCAGGGAGTCTCTGATTAACTCCCCTTCCACTCAAAAGGAGTCTTTGAGCTGCGGTGAGACCTAGTCCATGGAACAGACAGTTCCAACCCTGCAGAGACCAGCAGCTAGAATGGCAGTGATCTGACCTGGAGCTGGCTCTGGAGAGTCAGCCTAGACCTCCACAGAACCCCAGACCAGGTTGCTAGGAAAGCACGTTGTCCACCCAGGGATGAAGACACAGTAAAGGTATCCTTTTGGTTTAAGCTGGCCAACATTCACAGTGCTGCAGCACGCCTCTCCACACTCATTACCATATCATTTGGCTGGGAAGGTGGTAGGGAGGCAGGGACGGATTATGAAAGTTATGAGTATTGGGAGGTGGGGAACTTGGTTTATTCATGGTTAGTATTTATTAGTTAACCTAACCCTCTCCTTCTCCAGATCCTATTTTCCTGCCCCTAGTAATGTCCCCCATTGTTATATTGTTGCTTTGGAGTGTGCCATTCCTTGGCCATAGTTTGTGTTGATGTGCTCCATTGTTCACTGTGAACTGGGTTTCATATGCCTGGCTAGCAGCGATAGCATTATTCATTTTCCCAAGGATAACACCCTTTGTGTCCTGGGCACAGTGAGGAGTCACCCTGGGTGGAGACACCAGCCATCACAAAAAGAGAACCCGGGACCCAACCCATTTGAGGAGAGGGGAGAAGCCACTCCAAATAATAAGCACCAGAGAGGAAGCTTAAGCCACACCTCTGGGGAGGGGGCTATATGAGTCTGTATAGGTGGCAAGCACAATACAAAAAAATAGAGTAGTATAAAATACATGAGCTATTGCAATTATTTTAAAATGGAAGGGTTTAATTAAGCTCCTTATAATGAGGCCCTCACCCCTGGAGTGTCCCTTGTGGCCTAGTGCAGCGCAACACTCTGCGCTCAGTTTCTGCATGTGTATATTAAGCAGTGCCCCATCAGCACTGTAATTAACTTAACCCAAAGGCAGAACATTACACAACTAGGTCTTGACCCTAGCATCCTAGTTAGAGGGGGAAGGAGCTGAGTTAACCTTAGTCCATCAACCCCCCTGATGTCCACGTCCCTTACCCATGAAGCCCTATTGATCCAGAACCGTACCCCTGAAGTAAGGGCCTCTTGCCTTCAGTTGGGGAAGTCTCTCTTGACTTGGGCCAAGGTACCTGCAAAGGTCAAACCCACGATGACCCTTCCTGGGAACAGAATATAATTCCTTTGGTCTGGGGCTCCTGCTGCTACCTGTGAAGTCCTTCCATTCGGACCAGGTTTTGCTGAAGGTTGGCATTCACAGTCCTTCGTTCTGGAGCCTCCCCAGTTAGGAGCACTCTTCCTTGGCCTCCTTTCCTGATGAGATCTCTCAGCAGCTCCTCCTGAGAAGCCCTCCCAAGAAGTCCTCCCCTTGGCACTTCCTCTTTCTGTGTACTGTTCCTCCCCCCATCAGTCTTTGTTACCCACTGGGAGTAGCTTCCTAGCCAGCTCCCCCTGAGGAGTTCTTTTCCCAGCATTTCTTCCCTGTGATCTCCCCTGTCTGAGCCCACATAAGTGTTTATAAAGCCCAGGTGTTCCTTAACTAATTGCCTGAATAGCTGGGCAGTAGTTCATCAATTATCCACAGATGGGTGTTGGTTGTCTCATTCTCTTTAGCACAGCCTGTCATAGGTAGGCTGAGGACCTGACCACCCTCAGGGGCCAGCTACCCTGTAGCATCCCTCAAGTAATTATTGTGCATCAATCCACTGCATGTGTTTAAAATGTGCCATTACATAAGTTAGTGAAATCCAGTTAATTACTTTCTGGGATCTACCACAACTTCAAAAGTTGACTCTTAATTTCACAGTATGACCTACCCTTGCCTCATCTTCATAGTACTGTGTTACACTTATATAACAATGAAGAAACAGAACCCAACAACTAGGACCCAGTTCTTTTTGGACAGATAGATAAAGCCAAATTCTGCATATGGAGGCATGCACGTGAGCCTCCCATTTAAATCTGTTTGAGCTGTGCGCATGCATCCAAGAGCCTCCCTTTTAACTGTTTGAAAAATGTGTAACTTTAATGGTTCAACATTTACATTTTTCAAAGGTGTTTCACCTATAATAACTGTGAGCAGTGCAAAGAGCTTTGGGCTGTCCTCTGAAGAGAGAGCAGTGGAAACAGGTGACAGCACTGGGCATAGTGGGATTACATTGCACAGTTTAATTAATAACTAAAGTAAGCCACCTATTTACAAATAAATAAATAAATAAATAAACCATTTCTTTCATGTTAAATACAGACATACAATTTCTCTCGATTCCTACTATCAGCTAAAAATAAAATTTGTAATGAATGCACAAATATGACAAAAGGGTGACAAGAGAATTTAGCCTGATTCCCTTAGGCTGCCAGAGGTTAAATTTATTGTGGCAGAGAAGGAAAACAGAAACAGAGAGAAACCCCTTCTCATATCTATTACTCAACCTGTGGTTTGTATATATCCAAATCTCTGAATCTTGTGAAATTTAAATAAAGAACAATGCCATCTGCTGTTGTAGGGCCCTGAAGAGATGGAAATATTTATTTGGAGAGGGTTTTCTCAACTGAATTCATTGATCAGGGAGAGGAGATTGGTATTATTACCAAGTACTAACATGATTGATTGTGACATATGAAATTGTGCAACCTCTTTTTTATGAAGCCTTCAATACAATATATATGGTAATGTATTAAAGGTAACATTTTATTATATATTTATTTATTTCAAATTTCCATAGTAATTCCCATTAGATGCACATTGTCAAGGCTAATTTAATACATCACCTTAAACATCAACTAATAGGACAATAAAATTAAGTAAATGTTACCAAGCATTATTGCCTTTTAAAATAAGCAATTGAAGTAATATACGCAACCCAATAAACTAGGCAGATTCATATTCATGAATGGCATTTCTGTTCAGATTTTTTTGTTTCCAATCCAAAAGTAAAAGGGAATACATTCCTAATTTTTATTTGGCAGCTAGTTGTAAGCAGTTATTTTAACTGTTTGCCAAATAATGTATTTCTCATTTGCATAATTCATCTTAAATGCTGAAGACTAGAGGATTAGAAAAGACATGTATAGGGTATTTCTATACTAGAAACACTGCGGTGGCACAGCTGTAGTGTAGACACTTACGACAGCAACAGCAGGTGTTCTTCCATCCCTGTAGTAATTTCACCTCTCAGAGGTGTTAGCTAGGTCAATGGAAGAATTCTTCTGTCTACCTAGTGGGGTCTACACAGGGGCTTAGGTCGACTTCACTGCATCTCTCAGGGGTTTGAATCTTTCACATATTGAGTGATGTAGCTAGGTTGACCTAAGTTCTAGGTTTAGGGTAGGCTATAGTCACTTTCTTGGTGGCTCTGATTTAGTCAAAACAACACATCCGTCATAAAGGGCTAGATTTACTGGAATGGGAGTACTTGTGTGAATAACTACATGCCACTGTGAACATAGAGTTCCCAGTCTGGCCCATTGTGTAAATCCAAAGGATACAGTAATTGGCAACTAGATTGCGCGTGTGTGTGTGTGTGTGGAGTAAGTCTACTTACCACACTAGACTTGTTTCTCTAATATTCTGGGCTCAACACAGCTACAACAACACAGAAAACTAAACAATAAAGGGCATAGGCAGCCATCACTCCACTTTCAAATCTCCCATTGTCATCAAAGTGGAAAAAGGTATTTTTCTGTAGTGTATTGGTAAAGTGACATAAAAGGCAGAATACTGTTCCCAAACATTCACCATCTGGAATATATTCACATTTTTGTTATGGTCTGAATAAGGTGACATCAAAAGAAGTAACAAAGGAAAAAATGTTGTATAAATGATAGGTCGAAGTCCAATCTTGATTCAGTTTTTGCCACCGTGAACAGATGTTATTTGATTCTGATCTGATTTTAATGTCCTCAAAATATTGCAAATATTTAAAATGCTAGAACAGAGAAAACTTCATTTTACCCTCTCATGCATGGATATGGCTCATAGGGCAGAATCCATTTCACAGAACAACTGATTTGTGACTCTAGGTTCTACAGCATATAGAAAACATGTACTATGACCAGAGCTTTTCCAGTTTACTACACTAATGTTTTTCTTTTAAAGTTCAAATTCATTTAAAATTGACTAACATGATATGAAGATATGATATTCATCGATCATTAAGAACTTCCACCCAAGTGATTTACCAGCATTTTGGCTAACTATGAATTATGGGCTTAATCCAACTCCTACTGAAGTGAATGGAGAGACTGCCATTGACTTGAATAGGAATTGAGGAAAATGATAATTTTTAATAGTATCTGGTAACTTTAAACAGTGGAAGTGATTTCCTGGTCACCAGAGCAAAGAACCAGGAAGATGACTGAATTGTAATCTAGGCTAACTGAAAAATGGTTGATTATGCCTATAGGTTCACCTTGTGACCTTCCTGTAGTTTAGAAAGACAAGGTAAAACAGGACCTAACTGTAACCAGATGCTGCTTCTGAGGTGAGCTTTCCCATTAACAAAACCAGAATCAATAAACCAACTCTGATTTGTTTATTGTATTATAACAATGGATAACTAATGACCGACTATGAAAACAGAAGTGTGTGGCCAGTCAAAATCAGATCAGGAATTACACATGTCATTTCTCTAAACAATGTTTTACAAAAAATATACAGATATAGGTACTATACATTAAACTTGGGAATAATTATCTCTCCAATTAAGCATTTTGTAGACATAATAAATGACTCCTTTTAAAACAACAGAGAAAAATTTGAACACTGTATAATCCAAAAACAACTTCACTGCGCAGTGTTTTCTATGTGTAGCTCCTCTGCTTTTTGACCTATCAGATGTTGCCTGGCAAGCATTTATGGTAGAGTTTATTTCATAATTAAAAACAGATCCTTTAATCAATCGTCTTTGCAAAAATTCCCACAAGGTCAGACTCAGACAGATTGAAAACAGATATGTTTGTACTTGAAAAAGGTTCCTCCTGTTCACTATTTATACATATTCATATATGGCTCTATCTTCAGTGGGTTTTAGTACCAGCCTGCTTTTTAAAGGGGCAAAGGGAAGAACACATACAAGTTTTAGAAACAACATTTAAATATAAATGGAACACAAGCACGTCACTAGGAAGCAGTCACTGTGCTCACAAAGAATTGTTTTTTTGGGAGGGAGGGGTTGGTTTGTTTGCTTGATTTTTTTTTTTTTTAATGAAAGATCTCCCAAAGCAGGCAGCTCAAGCCAAAAGGAAAGGCTAAACATACTCAGTAGGGGACTGTTTTTCATTTGTTTTATTGATACAAGGCCTTTTATTTAAAACAAAACAAAAACAACAAAGCCCCAAAACTTGTCATTCTGATTTTATTAAGCAATGCTCTCACTCCCATGCCTCGACTTTGCTGTAGTTACTGCTTCCTGTTGGCAAAGACCAGCGTGAACACTGTCAGTATGTATGAAAACAGGATTCATGCTTCACAACAACATTTGGTTGATAGTTACCTCATTTATAATGATCCAGTGACAGTCAAAAGCAACCAAATTAGTCTCCACAACCTGAAATAGAGAACAAAGCAGCTATCAGTCAGCTTATTTATAAAAGCTAATTAAATAAATAGATAGATAAATGGAATGGATGCTCTCTGCAAATGACAAAAAAAGGAGCACATGCTCTGAAAGACCTCTGTTATTCAACTGAGGATAGAGAACCTTTAGCAGACGCATTTGTGTTATTGTTTGACTTGCTAATTAAAGATGGAAATATATTTCATTGCAGGCATAACAGAAGAAAATAGGTTTCAGTTGATTCAGAAGAAAATTAAATCATTTTTGCTTTAACACTGTATGGTGAGATGGAGCAGAAGAAAGAATGGCAAAGAATCAGTGCACTCAGACAAGATAGCTATTGTCTCAGACTGACCAAATTTCTAAATCTCCAAACCATGACATCTTCTCAATGTTCACCTATCTTGGATGTGTGAGTGGGAAGGAAATGTGGAGATTCTGGTCATCCAGATTAAAACATTTGGGGATTATATGAATAGAGGAATAGGTGAAGAAAGATATTTTTGAGAGAGAAAGAGGAATGTGTCATTGTGGCAGTTTTGGGAGACTACATGTAAAGAATGACCTACTCTTGCCTCTGTTTTCACAAGTCCCTTGCTGTCCCCTCCCACTTCTATCTTGTCACTGAAACAGATTCCAAAAGCTGTCTTTGTGGTGGGTCCAAGATGCTATCTCCCCTTCTTTATTCTGTGCTATCATTCTTCATTTCATGGGCAAGACTCACTCAGGGGAGGAACAAAGAGAAAGAAGAAGAAGAGGAGGCGAGATGAGTGGGCTGGCAATGTCATGGAGCCCAGGAAAGAGGCAGCTGCAGGATCTGACTTTCACACCAAAGTAGGAAGTGGGGAGGAGGAAGCAGAGGAGGGAAAAATCATAGAAGAATGTCAAAAATGTCTGGACATCTCAGTTCATTCTACTGGGTTCAAATGAACAGGCATTGCAAACTAAACCAAGATTGGCTTTGCTTGATCTGGTAACTCTACCGATATTGGCTCTAAAACAGTAAGCACCTAGAACTGCTATAAATCACAGGGGAAGGAAGCCAGGTATTGTAATGCTGCTTTGTGAAAGCATAAAATAACATTGACATTGTGGTAGATGAATGGTAGTAGTCTACTGTTATTGAGGCCGGGGGGATGCACAGCACTGATTTTTGGCTTTGGGATGATTGTAATTTATATAATACTATGACCAAAGGAGAGAGATTTAACTGGTTACTAATCTTAAGAGAGAGGTAAGATCCCCAGAACTGAAAACCACCATTATTAATTCAGAGGCATTGGAACTGGGGTCAGTTCTCACTTGCTATATTGATGTGCAGTACAGGAAATTCTAACCTAGAGAGAGACTGAAAGCAGGTTCTGGGCAGCTACATATAAATAGGCCTTAGATAGGAAACTCTCTCCAGTGCTGAGATGATCATTTGGGGAAATGAGATTGTTGTGTCAATGTATCTCTGGGTAAATTTAAACATTATTTGTAGTAATTCATGACCTAACATTGAATTTAGATACAGTGCATTATATTTAGGGTAACCAGACAGCAAGTGTGAAAAATCGGAACATGGGGTGGGGGGTTGACCCAAAAATCGGGACTGCCCCTATAAAATTGGGACATCTGGTTACCCTAAATATAATGCACTG